ATGCACACACCTTCTTTCCTAAGAGATTTGGGACCTAGCAAAGAAGAAGTTTCTTTTCATAAAATTAGAAATATGACCCTTTAGACCAAGGAGCTCTGCACAAAGATACCCTATACCACCATAAATCCAAATCCTTCCACTGTAACAAGTAAGTTTGGCTTTACTGAAATGAAACCATAGCAAAGGTGTAATGTGTATTGTCTCTTAACCTAAACAAATTAGCTTCCACCAATACATCAGGACTTCAGATAGTTCCAATAGTTCTCAAATACTAGCTTAAGTTCTTTGGGTATGTTTGTGCCTTTTGACCTTGTCCTATAATCATTTAAGTTCAAAGATACTAATTTTGAATCATTTATTCCAAAATCAGATCTCCTGTGTGTACAGAGGGGTGTGTAAGAGAATATAAATTGTGTTTTGCCACAAAAATTGCTATCTTTATGGATTCTTGGCCTTGATAAATAAAACTGGTGCCCTCAAGCAGTAAATATTACACAGAGATAGTACACATCACAGCCAGGTTAAATACACAATCTAAAGAAAGTTACTACTTTAATCTGAGCAGTCTCTGGGTTGTATCTAATGCTATCTGCTACAGAATGGATATTGCTGGCAGAACATATTCTCTCTCCCCGCTGCAGTCCCTAAATTTTCTCCAGATGGTTATGGGGGAACCACCAGAACAGATGGGTTGGAGGAGAAATGAATACAAGAAGAGAAATTTCTGTCACACAAGCAGAAGTTGACTTGTGAGGCACTGGAGAGAGCTTTCTATTCCCTACAAACTAAAAACATTCTATTGTTTCTTTTTACAAATGAGAACAAGTAACAATTTCCCTATAAATAACAGGGTTTACTATATACTAATTAAAATTTGGTAAGACCTTCAGAAGCTTAAAGAATTGTATCTGACCCATTGCCTGCCAGCTAGCCATCCCTCTCCCAAAACATCCTCAACCAAAGTCTAGGAAATTCAAGCTCAGTGGGTGACTAGTGGTTATTTGTCTCAGCCCCCAGTATGTAAAATAAGAAAAACAAAGACTTACCTCATGGAAACATAAATTACTATATTAAAAAATCACATAACCACTTTGCACATTAAAAACATGCTATATGAAATAGTCAAAAACTTCTATAAATTCCTAGTCAATTATCTCCCTCAATAGCTACTTCTGAAGGAGATTAGGACATGGTGCTTATTTAATTTGAATACTTCATATACATTGCAGTATTAAACTTTCCTTGGTGCAGAATATGGAATATCATTATATATAATGTATTTGATGCAAAGTCCATCTTGCTTATGTTGTATTTTCCTGGATGCTCATCCTGAGCTCAATAAAAATAATTGCATTTATGATAGCTTTTTAAATGTAAGTGCCCATGTATCCCTTACCTTCTCTAGTTTCAATATTTCCTGTTTTTTTCACCTTTTCATAATAAAAACAGTTCCCTATCCACTGCCTAATGTCTCTTCTTAGTTTCCATTTTGTTAATTTATATTAAACATGTAAATGTTAACTTTTTATCCTAGTGACCCACTCTGGACACAAATGAAGACCTCTATGTCTGTTTCTTAGAAGCACTCCTGTTGACAGAACTTAAAATGACACTTGTTTTGCAAGCAGTTGCATACTTACCTTCCATTTATTTTCTGTGATGCTTACATCTGCATGATGACAACTATCTTTCAACCTACACTTGCACCTTTATTTTCTCAAAGTCATTGATCTACAATATCCACTAAGTCTTTCGCAGATGCTTAACATAAACTTTATAGATTATTCCATTAAATTTAATGCAAAGGCTGAGATCATTAGCAGCATGCCATAGTATTTTCTTGTGCTTAAAACCCTTAACCTGCACAGACCTCTGATCCTCCACATACATTGCAAGATCAATATCTAAGTCACCATTTCTCAAATATTTCCAGCAGCATTTTTGATTCAGTAGTAGACAGGAATATACACATGGATCAGAAGAATTTCTGCACTTGTATGTGTAAACTGCTTTGAGACTGCAGATGGAAATGAGATAGCCATTTAGCAATACTCTATGGCTGCAGTGGCAGCCTTGAAAGAAGAAAAACAAAAGAGTCACTGAAGGTGGACCATCCTTAGATCCCATCATTCCAAGATAATGTGGACTCTCCAGGAAATCAATGGTACGACAGACCCTTCCCTTCCAACTATAGAAATAAATGGGATAAATAATTCTCTTTTGAATCCTGAGAGGAGTCCTCAGGCACAGAAGAAATGCAGAGGAAATATTTCACACATACCTGAAATCTATTAACCCCAATACATGTCTCTTCACTCATTTCCATGTCTACAGGCTCTTTCCTTTCTCCACACAAGTCAACAGAGTGAATGGAATGCATTTTCTTGGTGACAGGAGGAAGGCAATTCTTAATGCAAATATACTGTTTTTACCCATGCAAATTTAATTGATGGATGGATTATTCAACTAAGGATGCAACCCTATCCATGTTTAGACAAAATAAGTCCCATAACACCCAGCATTCCCCATGGGTAGCTGGGAAACTTTGGATGCCATAGGACTTTAGCTATCTAAGCACGCACCCTAAAACGTGCATGATTAATCAATAAAGGCTACAGTCCTACACTCACTTACCTGATAGTCTCATTGACGTGCGTCAATGTGGTATTTAGATTTGAGTAGACATGTACAAAATTGTGCTGTAAAATTCCTTTAATGGGATGAAATTATTGAAGCGTGCATGTAGTTCCAAGACCCAACCCCCGCCCATTCCTGTTCTCACAAGTTGATAGTATATTCCTGTCAAATGCAGTATCTTCTATATACTATGCATATTAATTGTAAGGGGTAGCCATAATACCAGCTTTAGTGTGAAATGCATGGTCTATATCATATGGATTTGTGTTGAATTTCAAGAGAGTTGCATGTACATCTTGCAAATGATGTCACTATATATTGCAGTCACTATAGAACAAGTCTGAGAAGGGACAGTATAATACATAAAGATATGTATGGCCAATTTGCAGTAGAAGTCACTTAATTGCATGCAGCAGAAATGCTGTCTTTTGGAAGTATTATAATGCATGCCAAACATAAATGCATGGATGTTTCAATGAGTTAAAGGTAATAGCCATTCCAACAAATTTGATTCCAAAACTTAGTCAGCCAGGATGGATTCTTACATAACTACCCTCCAATGGACACCATGGTCTTCATTATTGATCACATTTGTATTTATTTATTGCATCCCACTCTTCTTCTATGGTTGAGCCCTAAGCTATAAATAGCTCAACATTGTATATGTAGAGTATTTTATCCTCACACTACTCTTGTCCAGTAAGCTGAGGCAGAACTGAATTATCAGTTCACCTTTGTGACTGGACTGAAATATAACATCATGACTCCCTGATAACATAGGCCCATAACATGACTTTCCCCCATAATGTGGAACCTTTTCCATGCGAAAGCTACAAATCTGGGCAGTATATCTTTGGCCACATGACAAAGGCAATGCACCTGTGACAAACACCTCTCACTTTTACAATTGTCACATGGAACTGTCATATAAGAATCAGCCTCAAGGGTTCTAGTCCCACCAAAATTCGAGTTTCGTTAGCATGCTTTATTTAGTTCTGGAAATGCTCCTAGGGCTGGAGAGTTTGCACATGACTAGTTAACATTAAAACTTAAAGCTAAAAGCATATTAATTACACTTGATTTGTTATCCATGCTAAATTTGCACACCAGGAAGTCAGAGTTCTCTCTCTCTCTCTCTCTCTCTCTCTCTCTCTCTCTCTCTCTCTGTGTGTGTGTGTGTGTGTGTGTGAGAGAGAGAGAGAGAGCGAGCGAGCGAGCGAGCGAGCGAGCGAGCACGCACGGGCCATATGGGGCAGATTAGATTTTTTAGGGAAGTCTTTCATCCAAAGTGATTCCCTCATTTTGTAGAGCATATGCTTTCCAGCATTCATTGTTATTGCTAAGAAAACACAATAATATCAAAGACAAATAATTTTTGAAAGACAATGTGAAACAAAGACACAGCACTATATCCTCACATCAGGCCTACCAAATTACCTTGGCAGCATATGTTTACAAAAATGAAGACTCCACCTTGACCAAATTGTTGTTCATGCAAACAAAATCAATGAAAGTTTCTACAAGATGAATGAGAAGCTTTGTTCCTTCATAGGACAGTTGGTACTACTTATCTTTGAACATATCTGATGCATAAATGTGTATTTCAAAATGATATTTTGTAGCAGTTATATCTCTCATTTGGCACCTGACTGATTGGGTACCTTTTCCCTTCTGCACTCTGTCCACCCTCCATCATACAAACCAAATTACAGGATCTGTAACTGAACATGTTTCTACACATTCTGCAATATTTATTTTAATGAAACTGCAGTGGTGGTGGGGAAGAAGACACTGCAACTGTTTAATAAGCCTTTTAAAAAATATCCATCTTCATCTTCCTTCCCCACCAATCCACTAACAAGATTTCACTAATCTTAAAGAGTTGGGCATTTAATCCTTAAAATTTAAAGCAACTCCTCCACTTCTATAGCAAATGATTAATTCCCCCCCCCCCCCATCAGAATAGAAAAGGAGCTCTGTCAGCAAAACCTGTCAGAACTGTTACATGTTCTACTGCCTGGAAGTAAATGCCATTGACATGAAAACACTTGCTTTCTAGTAGTATATTTAAAACTACAGAATTCAAGTCTCACGTCTACAAGCCACAATTAAATTCAAAGTCTCTGCTTTTAAAAAGCAGGGGGTTTTCCCCTTCCAACAATAATAGTTTCCTTTAACTCGGGGCAGGGAACATCCTCTTTACAACCCTCTTCCATGCCTTGGGGAGGACGTAAAGCGGAATCTGAGATTTTAAGAGGAAGATGCGATAGGGAGGCGGGATCAGGGATTTTAAGATGCGGTTGGGAGGCGATTTACGACTTTACTGCTATTAATTTTTTTAAAAATCGAAAACGGTTACTCACAATCATCTAAGTCATCCTGCAAATCCACAAAATACAAAGGGATCCCTACAAACAAAAAAACAAAAGAGAGGGAGAGAAGGAGGGAGGGAGGAAAAGAGAGGGAGAGAAAGAAGACACAAGGGGTTGGTGTGGTGCTGTTGTTGTTTTCCCCCACAAGACTCGTTTGGAAAGGAGGCAGCTTTGCCTTTTTTGTTCTTTCTTTAACAAGGCAAAAAACAAGAACTAAATAGACACACCTCAGCAAGAACAAATACGACAGCCAACGCGCAAAGTTCACGCCAGGATGGGAGCGCCCCTCCTCGACACCGCGCGGAAAGCTCGCGGGCGGGCAAGCAGGCAGGCAGGGCGGGCGGGGAGGCGGAGAAGGAGACAAGGAAGACGGCGCACGCACTCGCTCGCTCGCCACCGAGGAGCCCACGAAGCGAAAGCCACTTACCAGCCATTTTGAAAGGGGCATTGGTGGGGCGGGAGGCGGGGCGCGAGAGGAGAGCTGGGCCCGGGGAGGAGGGCCCTGAGGAGGGGCGCCCCGACCCGCGCTCGCCGGGACGCCGCGCCCGCGCACTCACGCATCGGCCCGGGCCGCCGCTTCGGAACCGGCCCCGGGGCGCGCGGCGCCTGCCGAGCGGGGCCCATAAAGAGCAGCGCTGTGAGGGGTGTGCGGGGCGAGGGACACGCACAATGGGGCGCTCCCCCTCCCGAGCCGGTCGTCCCTGAAAGGGGCGGGGAGGCCCCGTCAGGTGATCGTCGAGGGGCCGTCCAAGATGGCGCCCGGGCTGCGGGGCCTGAGGAGGAGGAAGAGGAGGCTCTACCTGTGACTGGCGACGCCGGGAGGGGCGGGCAAGGAGAGCGTGAGGGAGCCCTCGCTGTTGACTGCGTTGCCGCCGCGGTTCTGGTCCTCTCCCGCACTTTCTCCGGGGACTCGGCCTGAGGCGGAATTGGGGGCGGCGGCGCCGCTTCAATGTGTGCCTTTTTCCAGGGAGCGGTTATGGTTTGGCCGGACCGTGCCTGGGGTTCGTAGGAGCAGCCGCCTCTTTTTCTCGAGTCATGGCTCTGAGGGAGCTCAAAGTTTGCCTGCTCGGGGTGAGTAATGGCAGGGTGGGGAGGGAAGATCGGGGTTATACACGAGGGCACGAAAGTTTTCTACCCATGGGCGTAGGGTGGCTGTGAAACTTAGGAGTCCGTATCTCCCGCCCCATACTGGAGAGGAAGAAAAGGAGGCTTTCCTTTCTCTCCTCCTGCCTCTGTGAAGGCATTTGAAATATGGGGCTTTTATACTCTTTACCGGTACCTACTCCTAGAGTTGTCAGATCGGCGGGGAAATGAGGCGGGGGAGGGAGTTGGGGAATAACATCCAGAGCTGGGAGATAATCGAGCTACACTTCTAACATTTACAGGCCATTCCTTGCGCGTTTACTCGAGAATAACCCCCGCTGAGCTCATGGAGGTCACTGTGCTTAGGATCGTGCCCTTAGATTGGCCTGATTTCTGAAGCTGCTGCTGCTTTTCTTTTATTACATTACCTTGGCAGCCTATCATTATTCCTTTGCAAAGAGCCAAAGCTGGTTTGCGTAGCCCTCCTCACATCAACCCTGTGAGGTGGGTTTGGATGAATGTCAGTGACGGGCTCAGAGTCATTCCTGGGCAAGCTGGGACTAGAACCTGGATCCCCTGAGTCCTCAGTCCAATACTGACCACTAAGACTATCTAATTATGCAGTCTACGTGGTGCTAATTCCTTTGTAAGATTTCTTAGGATCTCAGAAAAGCTCTAGCTTCCTCAATGGGATAAATTTCTAAATAAACATTACGAGAATAAAACCTTCAAGCACATGTGTGCAAATTTCCATGACCGAAGAGTGTTTTGCTTTTCATCTGTTGTTAGATGGCCCCAACAGTCAATGCGGTTTTACTTTCTTTCTTTTTGTGTTTGTGGCTTTGGCTTTTTTAGATACTTTAGTTTGGTTTTTGAAAACTCCCAATGGCACAGGTTTGGGAAGAACTCTATAAGAAAAAATCGACCCTTGACCAATAAATACTGGACTACTTTTAAAGATTCTTTGAAAAGTACTCAATCCAGGCCTTTAAAAGAGGGAGAGCACTATTTAAGGATGCAGTCCACTATGCCTTTTCCTGGGAATACATCCCATTGATCTCAGGCAATTTGCTCCTGTGGAAACATTCAGTTAACTGCAGTTTAATTCACCTGATTCTCAAGATGACCAATGAAATCCTGTCTAAATTCCATTTTTTTTAGACTTTTCTTTGTACAACAATTTTTTTCTGAATACTGAGTCACACTCCACAGGTGCGTTCCCAGTCTTCTTGAAAAGTAGTACTCTCTTTAAAACAGGGTTTGTTCTCTGTGTGAAGGAGGTGGGGAGGTCAATGAGGGAACAGTTTCTGCTGATCACCTTTAAATTCTGTGGCTCGAAGTATTTTATGCAAATATAACATTGTAATGTTTCATATGCCTTTTATTTAAACATGAGAAAATAAGTGCACTTTTAAGAATGTTGAAAAAAGACAAACCCTTTTGTAACTTTTCTTATGCTATCATTCTGTCATCTGCAGTTGCCCAAAACCTTGGCCTATTTCTAAAATCACCAGTTAGGTTTAATATATGCACTCCTAGTCAGGTTTTAGCATATAGGCTGACCACAGGCCTCAGCTACTTCCTTCGAAGCTATGCTATTGATCTTAAGTGAAGCTATTTAGGGCATGACTATTGGATGCATGATGCCAGCAATGGCTGGGAATGATTCTTTTGAATCATGGCTGACCAGTTCAAGGTTTTGGCCTCATTTATGCACAAGAAATCAATCTGGTGTTAAGTCATTTTGGGCTTTCTCATTGACTGCGGCTTCTTAACACTATTGTTCCAGGCATGTTACTGAAAGGGTGTTCAGCCTTTCATTAAATAGGGTAGGGCTGAATGAGTAATAGCCATTACTAACACTCTAACTAGTTGAACACCTTTTGATTTCAAACTATGTTGTTTACTATACACTTTGTAGAATTGGTACTCACATGGCTGTTGGAAATGAGTTTCCAGTCACTAGTATGTGCAACATAGAGGGATTTTGTAGCAACATGGAAGCATCAATGCATTTCCTAAAATAGGCATTTTAATGTGGGATACCACTAGGGGACACATTAGTATTTATTGTCCCTATACATTGACTGGGTCACATGACACAGCAACCGTGTGCTGTGTTCATAGCATACAGATCTTTGCCTGAACTCAGTGCCCAGAAAATCATGATTACATGGTTTCTGTATTCCCTGCTCTATTCTCCCAGTCTTGTCATGCAGTCAGTAAGCATACAGGGATTTGGGATCCAGCAGCCCACTCCTAATTGGCCCACTGCAGTCCTGAGGTGCAGAGTGTACCTGCATGTCTGCAGCATTTCCCAGCTGTTCCAGTCCCCAAATAGATTTTTATTAAATGAAAATAAACTGTTTCATCATGATTCCACCCTCCTGCCTCTGTGTATTCTCATACTGCCTTCCTCTTTTCAAAAGTAAGAGGCAGGGAGGACACAGTGCTTGGGCAATAAGGGTTAACATGAGCAATGATGTATCTGTTATGGTACAGAAGGCAGTAGAGATCAAAAGCTAGAAGTGGCCCCTTCCATGGCTACTCTTGCCACAGGACTCTTTCTAATTCAACAATGGTAAAATGGCAGTCCTGAATCCAGACAACTGGAGAAGCCACAATGAAGCATGGAAACCTTAGAACAGACCATTAACTACATCTAGGGTTTCAAAAAAGCAATCCTACCATGCAGAAACTGGGTCTGGATGATACAACATACCTTCAATAAGATTTTGCTATAGCTTCTCACATTGGTGAACATAATTATTGGCTTCTTGGGCAGAAAAATGCACCATCTGATACTATGCTTAGATCCTAATACTATACATACTTATTCAGAAGTCAATTTCACTGATAATGGGATTTCTTCTGAAGAAACATCTTGTCCTACCACTATCTCATAATGTTCTGGTGGAGATTTGAGTTAAAATAAGATAATAGTGTATGTGGCTAAAATTATATGATGTTGTTAACTGAGATGTAAGAGTACTACTTTTATGTCAGCAATCATTTCTGGCAGATAAGGCTACTTCATTACTCACTGGGTACCATGAATTTCTCTTCCTGCCTTCTACTGTTAATAACAAAAGTTTAAAATATATATTTGCAGAATTTGCTATTAACACCATAACCTGTAGGCCTTCGTATTCTGTAAAACAAGGGAAAAAGTGTACTCTCTAAATTCATTAGCAAGGTTTACATTCATTAGCACAGTTCTATCTTTCATCTACCTAGAATACCAGTGAGCTAGTACCACTCTTGAACTGCTTTCATATGGTATTAGGATGGATGAGGGAGAACTGAAATAAAAGCAAAATAAAATGGAGTGTTTTCTTATCAGCAGGTACTCTGAGGTGGCTGGTGGTATGCCATCAGTTCTATGGAGTTTACTCCCCTTGAAAAATCAGTTGCACCCTGGCATCATCACTGTTTATGGAGTTACAGGTAGCAGCTGTGGCCAGAGGTTACTTCATGACATGCAGCCCCTTCTGACTCGCTCTGTTTCTATGTTTGTATGTTTTTACCAGCTCTTACTTTATGCCAGCTATAGCTCTGTCTAGGGCAGTATAAAATGGTTTTGTTTGAAATTGTTCTGCTTGTTCAAAACAATCAATTTGTCCCTCTATCATAAAATTGAGGGGGATACAACTTAATCAAAGTTTAGTGTTTTATTATAATTACCACAAAACTCCCATCCATTTTTAATTATCTTAAAATTATATGCTTGATTTCTCTTTTAGGATACTGGTGTGGGAAAATCAAGCATTGTATGGCGCTTTGTAGAAGACAGCTTTGATCCCAATATCAATCCAACAATTGGGTAAGGAACTAAAAGTAACAAATGAGTTAGGACAGTTTAGGATTAAACAACAATACACAATATCTTTAATTTTTTTCACGAACAAATGTTGGCATCTACACGCATGGTTACATCTATAGAAATTGTCTCTTGTCTGGCAGGAAACTAAAGTCAAGTTTTCTTAGAACCAGGTACAAATAAAATGTAGGTTCCTTTCAGCTGTGGTTAAGGGACAGAAGCTAGCCCTGGAAAATGACCCATCTCCCACCCAAAATACGTCCACCCCATCCATTAGCATTAACTGAGTGGAATGGGTGGGCGGAGGAAGTTTGCATTCTTTATAATGACTTCTCATTTCCTATGCACAATTAAAAAGGAGTGGTCATTGGTCCAAACTGCTGATTTGTAATAAAGATATATGTGTACTTTACAAGGTATGTGAATACCTAGATTCTTCCATATACAAAGTAGGCAACATATTTTGATCAGTTGGAGAGTTTTATTTACTGAACCAAGAGTAGGGTCCTAACTTGCTTTCCAGTGTTTATTTATGGAAGCATATAGCAGTTTTCATTCATATAACATTTCCTTAAATAGGGGCATAAGTGTCTCTGAGTAATGAAAATGTAAACACAAAATTCTGTATCAGAATTGTTCACTATAGAAAAATGTAATGATTACAAACCAAATTGGAAAGGTAATATACTGGTTGCTTAGTGTTCATTAGCTCTGGTTTAGTTATTGAAATCAGATTATAAAGTTCAAATTTTTATTTACTCTTCAAGTAAATACTTCAAGCACAAGATACAGCTTTACAGCAGATAAAAACTAAACAAATCAATCCGCTTCTCATGATGTAGAATTAACATTGCTACTGGATAATGTGATGGCTATTAGCATATATCATTCTTAAGACATTCACTGTATTTATAAAAGGAAGGATAGGTTTTATCAGTATCTAGTAATCATGAATGACCATAAGCTTCAATTCCATGCTCGTGATAGTATATCTCTGGCTACTGAATGGAACATTCTGCATAATGGTAGGATTTATGAAAAGCCAGTCATTTGCAAAGTTCAGTAACTAAAAATAATGAAAGAACAAATGGAAAAAAGCTGAAATAGACAAACAAAGGTTTTCCCTTGCATTTTCCCCCAGCCCCTATAGAGGTAAAGTGAAGAATAGTTGCAAAGTTTTCTGAAGGAAATGAGTTTGTTGTCCTCAAGGTTAGCATTTTTGAAAGGGTCATTTGCTATACCTGTTCTTCCTCTTGAACAAATCAATAAGCATCATACAGCTCATTTGCTGTTCATATTTCTGTAGTAACTTGTGTGGCAGACTGTGTGGGTAGGCTCACTGTCTATAAGTTCAGCACCAGCTGGATGGTCTGTGCACTTCCGACCCATTACAGAGTCATTTTCTTTGTGGCAGCCTGGCAGCGTGTGGGTGTTTCCTTTGGCAGTCTGCACATGTAAAAATGATTTGCAGAAATAGGAAGTGCGTCTAAGGAATTAAAAAATGTTAGTCATAAACCCAGATTGTGATCATGCTCTTAAGTAGCATACCTTGTCTCTTCATGTCTGTCTTATTTTTGCAGGCTGAGAAGCAAGGTATGCCAACAGAAAGAGCATGGCCCTATTTGCCCATCTGTCTGTCTGTTTGCCAACTTGCCTGCTTATATGACTTGCACAAGGTGGAAAGAAAGCATCTAGCTTACCTAGGGGATGGAGGGCATTCAGCCATTCTTTGCTCATACCAAAACCTAGCCAGGATGGAACTAGGAAGTATGCAAGCATTTATCTTAATAGTTTACAGCAGGGGTCTCAAACTCGCGGCCCGCGGGGGGGGGAGGGGCCCTGCAGCCTTCAAAGCGCCGGCGGCGCCTGGGCTGCCGCGGGGTGAGTGGCCCACCACCACCGCAGGGGTGGAATCCTTGTTGCGGCCCAGCCTCACCCAGACTCTACTTCCAGCGGCCCCCAGGTAAGTTGAGTTTGAGACCCCTGGTTTACAGTTTTGATTAGATGGCACACAAGTAACCACATTCAGATTTAATCTTAAACTGCAAGGTTCAAGGTGTAAATTTTGTGAGCCTGTCTGGCTTATGGTTAACTATTTAAAGTTCCTATTATGAAATTGGCCATCATGAGCCTTGAATTTAAACGATAACTTGTGAGTATTTTTTAAAATAGCAGAATGCTTTGTGCAACATGGCTTTTCCTTTTATACTTTGTTACAGAAACTGCCTACCTACATTTTAGACACGAACAAAAATACTAGGAAATTTTAAATCCCAGACTCCAAGTTGAAAGAGAGTGCTTTTTAGTTCCATTTTGCATAAAATAGGAGGTGACTGCGACAGCAGCCTGCACCTCATGTTCCCCAGCAACTGGCACAGAGACTTAGACCTATGATGTAAATAGCAGGGCTGGGCAGAACATCAATCTACAGATGTTTTGAAGTTACATTTCCAGAATTTCTGACCAATTTAGCAAATGCTTTTGAAAGTTCAATGCAAAATTTCAAGAGAACTACCTTATTTTATGTAACCAACATAACCAAGTGTGGTTGATAGCCCTGTCCTCTATAAAATTTTCTAATCCCCTTTAAACTATCCACTACATCTTGCAGAAGCAAATCTCATCGTTTAACAGTGTGCTGTATAAGGAAGTATTTTCTTTTATCTGTCTTGAATCTTCTACTGTTCAATTTCATGAGATGGCCCCATGTTCTTAAGAGAAAGGAAGAAAACTATCTCTACCATATCTCTCTGTATTTGCCTCTTTCCTAAGCTAAAGAGTCGCAGATGTTATCTTTCCTCATGGTGGAGTTGCTTCAGAATTTTTGTTTCATTTTGTCAAGTCATAATTTATTTTTCACAGTGTCTTCAAAGTAGTAGACAATCCTAACCAATTTTTGTCTTGAGAAGAGAATTCAATATTTCACAACCTGATGAAATCAGCTTCTCAAGACTTAGCTGGAGTGGCTTTCATTTTTGACTCATGACAGTTTACAAATTATTCTTTTAGTTCAACATAGATAGGTTTGTGATATAGTAACTGTTACCACCTTCCTGTAAACCTGAAGCCAGTTAGTGGTAGAACTTGACCTATTGTTCTTGACTCCTTTGGGATGTTTGCCACTCATACAAATAAACTCATATTTTATAAAATGAACCCAGAAAATATTAATTTCTGTTTGATTAATGGCATATAAAATCAGCTATCACTGTTTTAGTAGTGTATTGGTTCCATGAATGTACCGTTATACTATAGTTTTGGTTGAATACTTTGTTACATCTGAATGGCAAAAGAAAAGTCCATCTTTCTGCTAGTAGACAAAAAACATAAAGGTGCTTCTACAGTTTTGAGGGCAGATTGAATAGGAAAGTTCTTAACAAAATGCACAAGCCTCAATTCTTGACTTCCTCGATTTTAATCAAATCTTGACACATATGCCTTGCCTCTACAAGTAACTGTGAGAGCCAACACAGAAGTTAAGGGGTTGCCTTAACTTGGGATAAATTCCCTCCACTTGTCATTTGAACACTGACAATGGGTGGTAATTTGAGACTTAGTGTTGTGGAAGGTAAAGACCCAGCACTATGCCAACTAGCATGGCTCGATGATGAACGTTGTAGGATTTTTTTCCATCTAAGCATGCATAAAATTTCCATTAGAAGGAAGCCTCTGAACGTGGAAGCTTCTGAATAGCAAGTGGCCTACTAGCCAGGCTGGAAAAGCGATAGAGGTTATTTCACCCACTTCCTCTTTTGGTTGTTTGTTTTTTCTCTAGATTAGCCTCTGAGCCCATCTACAGGAAGAATGCTGCTCAGGCTGTGATACAGCTGGGCTGGAGAAGCCATAGGTTTTATATCCTTGCTTCTCCCCTCTCCTCACAAAAACACCCATTTGTGACATCTACAAGTTCCTCTGAAGCCAGTACTATGATCATAGAAGGCAGGCGCTGTGGTTCTTTCTGCAGCAGTGGGGAATACTCGGTCTTTGGAATCTCTCTCCCAAAGTTGGAGCGGTGTCTATGGGTACAGGAGGGGAACCCAAAAAGCCTTATCTAGCAACCATAGGATTTTTCCCACCTTGAGTTATATTAATTCTTCAATAATACAATTGAATTTTAGTTGCCCACAGCATTTTTATATGTAGTATGATGCTTTCCTAACTACCAGACTTGAACAAAACATGAAATGTACAAACCATTTTCCTTCCATTTTTACAGTGGTATCAGTAGATCTGTCTCCTGTGTATGGATGTTCTACATGTCTATATTTTTCTACAGGAATAAACCTTATCCTTAATAGCCTCTGGGCTATTAGGGTGGTATATACATGCAAATAATAAATATTTATGGATGGGATTTGTTCTAACTTCTTTTTTGTTGATTATTAGTTTTATTTTCTAATAGAGTCATGCATTCCATACTTTTCAGAGCATCTTTTATGACCAAGACCGTGCAATATCAGAATGAATTGCATAAATTTTTAATATGGGATACAGCTGGACAAGAACGAGTAAGTAGATAACCCATGCTTTTTAACTATAAAAATGTATGAACAAAACTTTCTGGACAGAATATAGATGGCTATGTCCTATGACCACTTAAAGGTGACCATTTTAAAATGGTGCAAATGAATTTTGCAATAGAAAATCATTATCTTTGTTTCCTGACTGTCTACCATGAAGTAGTACATTGGGATAAAGAATGGATTCATATCCTGTACCTTCATGAGTATCTCAGTCGAATTCACATATTTTAGAAGTGAAATTTCTAAAATAATTTTCTCATGTATCTATGGATTAAAATATTCTGCTTATACCACACATTATTGCTTCCCAGATTAAAAAACAGAGATGATGAATCTGAAAAGAATCTAACATGCACAGTGTAATGCTCAGAGTAAAAGTGATTGCAGCCTTTATACATTGGAGACACATATTTCAAGCATCGCATTTAGTTGCTGAAGCTTTCAGTTTTCTTCTTCACGGAATTCATTCTGAGTAATCTGAAACAGGCTTTTAGAATGACAGTATTTGGCAGTCGAGTTCATTCTCTAAAAAGGCAAGTACAGTTGTAAGGACAAACACATATACTGCTATATAGTTTTGGCTGGGCCGAAAGGGATGAGGGCTGACTTTCTCATTCTCTCTTTCTGTTGCCACCACATGTCAAGGTGCAGAAAGAACTTCTGCAACATCATTGCCTGAAGCATCTTCTTTTGCTTTCTTAGTATGTGCTGCCTTTTCAGGGACATTTCCCTTTATGATATTCACATACATTTCTAGTCAGCTGTTAACTTTCTTTCAAGTTTCCTTTGTGATTAAAGTTGGAATAAAAAAAGCAAGACCCCCAGTTGACCTCTTTCCTTCTTCTGTAGAGGCCTGTAGTCAAATTAAGATGTCCTTAGCTGCCCTGCTACATGTGCCATCTCTTTTTCCTTTTATGAGAAACTCAAGATGAATCTTTCCAGCTAAACTATTGCAAATCCTCATAAATGTTTTCTGTCTAGAGAAACTCACTAGGGCACAGTTCAGAATATTTCCCCTTTCAGAATAGATAAGATGCTCCTGAGACTAGGCATATATTCACTTCTGATGTGTTAGTAGATGTTTTATAATTTTCATCAGAGGGTGGGGAAGGGTTCTTTCTGGAATCACACTTTTGGAAAGTAATGGGTTTTTTTTCATAAGGCCAGAAGCTAGTTGGCACATGGTTGTCATTTAATGCTGAGACGATCTTCAGTTTCCTCTTTTTTATTAATTTTTAAATATAAAATACAATTAAGAAACATAGAATCAAAATTAAAACATACAACTTTAAATATTAAGCTTACAATTCAAATAATTCATTAAAAAACTGTGCACCCCATCACCAGGACCATTGGATACATATTGAGAACTCATTCAAAAATTCTTTCAAGAAATTTCCCCTTTCCAAAATTGCACTGACTCCTGTAAAGGTTTAAATCTTTTTCCTCTTTTTAACACATATTCAATAAATACACTCCAAATCTCATTAAAATTATTCTATATATAGACTTTTCTCACTTTAAAGTCACAAGTTAATTTATCATTAATAGCTATATTCCAGACATCTTTATACCAATCACACAATTGGTGATCTTATTTTACTTTCCAGTCCCTAGCTATAATTAAAGTCGCAGCTGTTCTTAAATTTGTTAATTCTTTATTCCAACTCCATTGTTTCTTATTAAATATTGAGAGTGATACAATCTCAGGGCATAATTCAATAATTAAACTTATATTTTACTACTTTGTTTAAAAATCTTCTTCTCAAAATGTCATTATATAATTGTATTCCCAACACATATGAAAATACTCTATAGCCATATCTCCAACATAAGATTAGAATATCTACTATCTGTATGGTTCAACTTCACTAGGGTTACAATTTCCATACTAATTTATTTAAAAAATCCTTTCTTCTTACTGATGTACATTTTAGTATCCTTTTAGCCCAGATATTTTCCCAGTCTTAATTATTAATACTCTTTCTCAAGTCTGTTTCCATGTTGCTTTAAGTAAATCATATTGATCCTGAACTTCTGACAATATCTTACAGATTTTATTTACTGTCCCTTTCATTCACATTATCTTGTTTTCCTTTTCCACAATCATACCTTCAAATTTCATATAATTTCTACAACCACCTCTTTTCTTTAACCAATCTCTAGCCCAGGGGTCGGCAACCCACAGCTCCAGAGCCACACATGCCTCTTGAACGCCTCTGCTTTGGCTCAAAGCCGCTTATCCGCTCCAAGCTCCACTCAGGAATGCAGCGCTAGCTACTTAAGTAAATCAGCTTGTTAAGTAAATCATTCCTCTGCTAAACAAGCTTCCTGCAGGCTCTCATGTTACACAAAACACTGCTGAAAAGATTCTCTTTGTCCCAATGTAATCTCCTTCATCTGAATGTTAAAAGCTGCACTTGCGACCTGTCATAATTCACAGCACTTGAATTCACAGCACCGATTTACTGAGCTCCCCCAACCCCGGCCAACCATGGATAAATCGAAGAAAAGAAAAAGTTTCTGAAGAAAACCAAACGTTTAATGATACATGGGTAGATTCATTTGCTTTTACTGCTGACGAACTTATGGGGTTTGCTGTTTAATGCATGCAGCCCTTTTGCACTGACTTTGACTCTTCAGGAAGCTGTTCTCCTATTCAAAATATATGAAAGGAGTCCTACTAGTTTATAATGTAAGATTAAAAATAACAGTTTTTAGTGACTGAACAAGAGCTGCAGTTAAATCATAATGAAGATATACATAGCATTAAGGCAAAAAAAAAAAAAGATATATGCAGTGTTATCTTCATTTTAGATGTCAAAAGAGTTTTGCGGCTCCTGGTGTTTTGTGTGGGAAACGGGTCCAAATGGCTCTTTGAATGTTAAAGGTTGCCGACCCCTGCTCTAGTCCAATATTCTCCTTGGATCACATTAAACCAAGTTATTTTTTTTCCTTTTCTAATATTGCACTTATATTTCCATTTTTATTCATTACCAACTTGATAATTTAGTTCTTTAATTTTCCCCCCGAAGTATCTCTCAAATTTGATGGAAACCCTTCAAATTCAGTAATTGAATATAATGGTAAGATTGTTAGCATGAACTTTTTTATATTTATTTCAAATTTGTAATATTCCTCAGAGAGGTTCGCCTGGCGCCAGCACTTTATTCTTTTTAGCGCTTGGCCAAAACCTTTTTATTTTTCCAGTATTTTAAGGTTTAGACTGAGATTTTAAGTAAGTTTTTATTGTATAGAATGGATGCTGTGCTCCACTTTGTTTAATTGTAAGACTGTCCCGAGACCATTTGGTAGTGGACAGTATACAAAAGTTTTAAATAAAATATATAAAGTATTTTAAAGGAAAGGATTTTCAACCTTTTTAATATTTTTATTAACATATTTGAAAAAATGTCAAGGCTTCTTCAGTTTCATCTTAAATCTTTTTAAGCACTAGAAGGGACCCAAACCATTTTATTTCAATCTATCTATGTGTTGCTGATTGTGCAGTATTTTCAGAGAGGAGAAAAAAAAAACAGGATCCTCTTTTCTATTTTTACTCCAGGAGTAAAACATACAGCTTTTTGCAATGGCAATAACATGATACTTTGTCAGCGCTCTGACTCAACATTGTGGTTTTTGTAGGAACTAGACACCACAGCCACCATAACAACCAAAAATGTAAGGTAACAAGCATTTTAGGGTAGAGGTAGGTAGGATACACTTCCTTTGCATATTTCTGTAGCTAGGGATCAAATGCTTGAGGATTATGGCTCTAGATCTAAAGGAAGGCAAAGAACACAGAGACACCTGCTTTACACTTAGTTCATATTCTTTCTTCCTGTCTGCTTCCTTACAGCCTATCCTCATATTGGCTTCATATTTACACCAAAATGATCTAAATTATGATGACAGAATTTACAGTGATAATATTGAAATTATAAAATCCTGAATTATTTTGTTATACTGGAGCAGATTCAAGTGAGATGCTTATGCCCTCACCAATTCCCGTTTGCACACAGGACGCCTACCACTTGTTGAAAGAAAAATTAGTATTTCTGGGGCAACCAAAAATGAATGAAAACACTTGTTACTGTAACTGGGGAGGTTGCTGGCACTTGTATAAGGAACTTCGCTGCTCTGTCCCTATTGAGATAGAAATGTTAGTGTACTTTTTATGGCTTCTTTTGGGAAGCACCAAGTCTCTGTTGTACAAACAGTGGGTCCTGATTGTACAATGAAATCTGTGGGACCCACTACTTGTGCATCAGAAACAGCAAGGTACAAGGGAACCATTGAGGTGTGTGCATCCCATTGCATTCTGCCCTTTGATTTTTTTTTCCTCCATCTTCTTTTCTGTGCATTCTTGTATTTCTGAACAGTCCACCTTGGATAAGTCATTTTCTTTCCTGAACATAGTTTAATTATTTTTTGAAGTCATTTCCATCCACTTCAGCCCCCTCTTTCCATAATTAAAATAGACATGTCAAAGTGTGTGCACACATGCTCATCTGGGCACACAGCTTTCCTGCAGGAAAACAACTTTGGCTAAGTATAACAGGGCTCTTTCCCTCAAAACTGTGTAGCCACTAAGATGACTATAACATGAAGTAGTAATAGTATACTGCATTGGAAAAAAGTGCACATTTATTGTTCACACACAGTGTTGCATGTAGTTTGCCACTGGCACTTGTGCTCTGCTTGTTTGTTGAAAGTAGTTTCTTTGCCAAATTATTTACAAAGGTTTTTTCACTGTAATATAGCACAACCAGCACACAACATTTAACTTACTTGCTGTTGTAAACATCCATTATATCAGCCACCTATGTTGATCACCCAACCTGCACTGGGTTTGAAACTAGTGTTCATTCATGAAATTTTGTTCTACCTCTTCCTGTCAATGCTGCATCAATTTGAATAATATATTCAAAAGTTGCTTCTTCTTTACATTTACCAGAACCCAACTAAATGAGTATTACCCTTTGTCTCACTATGGGTTCTCACTGAGTGCCAGTGGATTATCTTGCACTTCTGTTTTCTAACTAAATGTGCCCCTCTGTTGTTAGATTCTCAAACTGAAAAATGTTTTATCAAGTCAGTAACATGGACATTTGCAATATGAGATTTACACAGAAGAAAGGTTCATAAGTCCAGTACAGAATTGTTTTACAAATTACAAAAAGAGAGGGAAAGGCACATACAAGAAAAAGGAACCAATAAGAGAGAGTAAAAAGGGAATCTCTGGTATCTGTAGAAAATTACTTGAACTGTAAGCCATCCTGAGACCCATTGGGTATTGGACGGGGTAAAAATTATCCAAATAAATAAATAAATCTTTGGGGTCACTTGTCTTCTGTTAGATATATTACCAAAAAATCCCTCCTCCAACTAGAAATAGGTGAAGGTTTTGTTTGTTTGTTTGTTCGTAATATCTGAAGGAATATAAGTAACTCCTGTTGGAAAAAAACACATTTTCTGAAAAGTTCCCCATAAGCACTAGAAATTTCCTTTTTTACTCTTTCTCATTGATTAATCTTACTTTAAAGAGATTGTGTCATAATAAATTAGATTTTACAGTGTTAAAATAGTCTTACGTGTAGCATGCAGAATGTTGGTGTGTGTACAGATGCAGTTCATACAACTCCTGTGAAGGCACCAGTTTCTTCATGGCAATTCAACTGCGCAGTTCCAGATTTCTACATAAAGCAACTGTGGACTTCACATGTTAGAAATACCCTACAGCTGAGGTACTAATTTAGTACTTGGGCTGGAGTACACAAGATTTCAGGGGAGGTCGCACAAGCAAGGTCCAAAGCTGTGCACTTGGATATTTCAGATTGCCAATAAAAAATGTAAAGAGTATTTGTTAGCTTATGGTATAAAAGTAATCCTATCTGAAAACATCCTGAGAAATAATGTGACCTGAAACAGAGAAGGAAAAAACTCCTTTCTTAAATGGCAGTTTTGAAGTTGAGCATTTAACCTTCAATGCTCACTAACCCTGCATGTGTAAAAATATAATTGAAATTTACTCACATTTGGTAGTATAAAGTGCTCACGCTTTGTGTACTGGGCTATACCTAAATTGAGGTATACCTCGTCATATACCTTTAGTATGATGTCTCTCTGCTACATGGCATCGAGCAATGTGATGTTTTGAGTGTTGGCCTAGCAGTAGGGAGAACTAAGTTCAAATACTTATTCAACCTTGAAGCTTGCTGAATGTACTTGAGCTAGTCATGCTAAGCTACAGTGAATTAATTAGCCTGGAGGGCTCTGCAGTGTTTACATGTAGCCATTTTAATTGTTCAAGCTATGGCTATGATTCGTTGTGCAGGCAAAACAAAGGTGGGTTGTTAGCATGATTAACAAACCACCCAGAATCTTGAATATTCAAAAGTTGCTTGGCACATGATATAAGCCACAGTGGGTTTCAGCATTTGTGCAAGTTGGATTCTTGCTTCACAAGGATGTTGTACAATGGGAACAAGAGGCCATATATACCACCACCATCTCCATGACAAGAGATATATAGCTTCATTATCAGGCACCCTTGTTTCACCCTATCTTGGTTATTCCCTTCCACCCAAATATATGATCTTTAATATGGTATATAAGCCTTTTTTTTACCAACTCATTCTCTTTACAGTTCCGTGCTCTGGCACCAATGTATTATCGAGGGTCTGCAGCAGCTATTATAGTTTATGACATCACAAAAGAGGTAAGCAAAAGGATTTTACAAAAATGTATATATTGGTAACATTTTTGTCTTTACTAATTCTGTCACTTATGTTTTAGGAAACATTTTCAACATTAAAAAACTGGGTGAAAGAACTACGCCAGCATGGACCTCCCAATATTGTTGTAGCTATTGCCGGAAATAAGTGTGATCTTAATGATGTAAGGTAAATTAAACCACAACTTATCCAGCTTTAGATATTTATCTGGATAGCAGTCCTCTGCTACAGTCATTCTGTGCAGTTAGTTTCCAGAAACTAGCTTTGATATTGAAGGGCTGGAGGAAGTATCAGTGTGGGTCATATCTGGAACAAATAAAGGTGACCAGGGTTCTGCATTAAATTAAAGTCCATTGGAGAGGGAGACTGTCATAGCTCTGGGCCAACTGGTTGATGGCGAAAGATTGCTGGAGGTAAACACAGGAACTAATGGAATCAGTCTGCCTTTGAATATTTAACTGTTTGGTTGTTGTTGTTAGTTGCAAAGTCGTGTTCGACCCATCGCGACCCCATGGACAACATTCCTCCAGGCCTTCCTGTCCTCCACCATCCCCCAGACTCCACCTAAGCTCACACTGACTGCTTCAGTGACTCTATCCAGCCACCTCATTCTCTGCCGTCCCCTCCTTCTTTTGCCATCTATTGTTCCCAGCATTAGACTCTTTGAGGGAGTCCTTCCTTCTCATTAGGTGGCCATAGTATTTGAGTTTCATCTTCAGGATCTGACCTTCTAAAGAGCAGTCAGGGTTGATCTCTTCTAGGACTGACAGGTTTGATCGCCTTGCGGTCCAAGGGACTCACAGGAGTCTTCACCAGCACCACAATTCAAAGGCCTCAATCCTTCTGCACTCAGCCTTCCTTATGGTCCAGCTTTCACAGCCATACATTGCAACTGGGAAAACCATAGCCTTGACTATATGCACTTTTGTCGGCAGGGTGATGTCTCTGCTTTTTAGTATGCTGTCTAGATTTGCCGTAGCTTTCCTCCCAAGGAGCAAGCGTCTTTTAATTTCTTGGCTGCAGTCCCCATCTGTGGTGATCTTGGAGCCCAGGAAAATAAAATCTGTCACTACCTCCATTTCTTCCCCATCTATTTGCCAGGAAGTGAGAGGACCGGATGATCTTAGTTTTCTTAATGTTGAATTTCAAGCCAATTTTTGCACTCTCCTCCTTCACCCACATTAAGAGGCTCTTTAGTTCCTCTTCACTTTCTGCCATGAGAGTGGTATCATCTGCATATCTGAGGTTGTTGATATTTCTCCCAGCAAACTTAATTTCAACTGGTGATTCATCTAGGCCCGCCTTTCTCATGATGTGCTCTGCATATAAGTTAAATAGGCAGGGTGACAGTATACAGCCTTGCCGAACTCCTTTCTCAATTTTGAACCAATCAGTGGTTCCGTGCCCAGTTCTCACTGTTGCTTCTTGACTCGCATATAGGTTTTTTAAGAGACAAATAAGATGGTCAGGTACTCCCATCTCTTTAAGAACTTGCCACAATTTGTTGCGATCCGCACAATCAAAGGCTTTAGCATAGTCAATGAAGCAGAAGTAGATGTTTTTCTGGAACTCCCTAGCTTTCTCCATGATCCATCGTATGTTGGCAATTTGATCTCTAGTTCCTCTCCCTCTTTGAAATCCTGCCTGTACTTCTGGTAGTTCTCGGTCCACATACTGCTGGAGCTTAGCTTGTAGGATTCTAAGCTTAACTTTGCTAGCATGTGAAATGAGTGCAATGGTGCGGTAGTTTGAACCTTCTTTGGCATTGCTCTTCTTTGGGATCGGAACGTAAACTGACATTTTCCAATACTGCGGCCACTGTTGAGTTTTCCAAATTTGCTGGCATATTGAGTGTAGCACTTTTACTGCATTGTCTTTTAAGATTTTGAATAGCTCAGCTGGAATGCTGTCACCTCCACTAGCTGTGTTGTTGCTCAGACTTCACATTCCAGGATGTCTGGCTGGAGGTCAGTGACCACCCCATCGTGGTTATCAGGGACATTAAGCTCTTTCTTGTATAGTTCTTCTGTGTAATCTTGCCACCTCTTCTTAATCTCTTCTGCCTCTGTTAGGTCCCTGCCATTTTGGTCCTTTATCATGCCCATCTTTGCATGAAACATTCCCTTCATATCTCCAATTTTCTTGAAGAGATCTCTGGTCCTCCCTATTCTATTGTTTTCTTCTATTTCTTTGCACTGTTAATTTAAGAAGGCATTCTTATCTCTTCTAGCTATTCTCTGGAATTCTGCATTCAGTTGGGTGTATCTTTCTCTTTCTCCCTTGCCTTTTGCTTCCCTTCTTTCCTCAGCTATATGTAAAGCTTCTTCAGACAGTCATTTTGCTTTCTTGCATTTCTTTTTCTTTGGGATGGTTTTAGTTGCTACCTCTCGTATAATGTTGCGAACCTCCGTCCATAGTTCTTCAGGCACTCTGTCTATCAGATCTAATTCCTTAATTCTATTTGTCACCTCTACTGTATATTCATCAGGAACATGATTTAGGTCATACCTGAGTGGCCTAGTGCTTTTCCCTAGTACTTTCTTCAATTTAAGTCTAAATTTTGCAACAAGAAGCTCATGATCTGAGCCACAGTCAGCTCCTGGTCTAGTTTTTACTGACTGTATAGAGCTTCTCCATCTTTGGCTGCAGAGCACATAGTCAATCTGATTTCTGTGTTGTCCGTCTGGTGATGTGTAGAGTCTTCTCTTGGGTTGTTGGAAAAGAGTGTTTGCTATGACCATCGTATTCTCTTGACAAAATTCTACCAGCCTGTGTCCTGCTTCATTTTGTACTCCAAGGCCAAACTTGCGTGTTATTCCGGTTATCTTTTGGCTTCCTACTTTAGCATTCCAATCCCCCATGATAATAAGGACATCATTTTTGGGTGTTAATTCTAGAAGGTGCTGTAGGCCTTCATAGAACTGGTCAACTTCAGCCTCTTCAGCACCAGTGGTTGGGGCATAGACTCGGAGTACTGTGATGTTGAATGGTTTGCCTTGGATTCGAACTGAGATCATTCTGTCATTTTGGAGATTGTATCCCAGTACTGCTTTTCCTACTCTTTTATTGACTATGAGGGCTACTCCATTTCTTCTGAGGGATTCTTGCCCACAGTAGTATACCTGATGGTCATCTGAATTAAATTCACCCATTCCTGTCCATTTTAGTTCACTGATTCCTAGGATGTCGATGTTCAGTCTTGTCATCTCCTGTTTGACCACATCCAGCTTGCCTTGATTCATGGATCTTACATTCCAGGTTCCTATGAAGTATAGATCTTTACAGCATCGGACTTTCCTTTCACCACCAGATACATCTGCAACTGAGTGTCCTTTCGGCTTTGACCCAGTCACTTCATTCTTTCTGGCACTACTAATACTAGCCCTCCGCTCTTCCCCAGTAGTATATTGGACACCTTCTGACCTAAGGGGCTCATCTTCCGGCGTCATATCTTTTTGCCTTTTGGTACTGTCCATGGGGTTTTCATGGCAAAGATACTGGAGTGGGTTGCCATTTGCTTCTCCAGTGAAGGAAATTTTCTTCTCCATTTTCCAGTGGAGAAGGAAACTGTTTGGTATAGTAGCCTAAAGCCTCTATGAGAGCCTTGGCTATAAGACCCAATGCTTGGGTTACAGTTTTTTTAAGTATCCCAACTAGCTACTGGGTGAACTTCTGTAGCAGTCCTGTAATGTATCACTGAGTGAAAACCCAGAGTCAGTACTAGAGATAAAGATGGCACTGAGGCTGGCATCTTGCTTTGAAGAAAGTTTGCTTCCCAGAATAAATACCAGGAGAAACAAGGCATCTGGTGGATGCCCAAAAGGTGTCTGTAAACACATTGGTACCAGCAGGCAGCATATTGGTTCTCCAGCATATTACAGGCTATATGGGAGCACTGTCAACAAATATTTTCAAATTTTATTTTAAAGGGAATCTGGAAATGAAATATTTTGTCCTCCAAAACAAGACTATTGAAGTTTTTCGTGTGAGAGCATCAGGGCTCTATGTATTCCATTCAAACAGCATGGCATGACTTGTTGAATGTAGAATTCATCCACCTGAGAATCTTAGTCTTTATTTCTTAAATGTTTTGAGCCCTTGTGTGATAAATATTTCCTATACTTTCTAGTCCCAGGATCGCAGTAGAGATGTACCTGATAAGATTTTCAGTGATTAGGATGGCCTGCAGTGCCTTGCATATAGCTTTGCCCTTTCTCATCTGTTCTGATTAGAGGAAACAGAATAAATGATGGGAATTGTGTTAAATGGTCATGATTTAAACAAGTTGTTGGACTTCCTGGTGTGGCTGAGGATTTGGGTTACTTTTTTCCAATTCCAATGTATTTAATGATGTACTAGTTGTATAGCACATTATGAAGCTTTTACAACAACCTAATCGGTATAGGAATATAGTCCCTGATTCCAACTATTCCAAGGAATTGCACGGAAAATAATAGAATAACACGTTGATAATGTGATGTGTACTTCTTCCTTTGGGGGATACACATCTTCAGAGATTAAGGTGTTTGATCCTTTCAGAATTCAGATTATTCACATGGGGAGGGGAGCCAAAAGGGTTGAGTTTAGCGTCACTTATAAGAAATCCAGTGTTGGGCACACACTGGTAATTGACTACATCCCCTCCATTTGAATGAGCAGTGCTTCACAACTATACAGGACAGTTATAAAAAGGGATTTGCACATCTCCCATGTACAGTGACTTTAGGATTTAGATTTGTTGTTGAAACAACTTTTAACATTGTATTAAATTGTAACTATTCTTTTCTAAAGCTGCAATAAATCAGTATGGTTTGTTTATAGTATATTCATCTCTCTCTCTCTCTCTCCCCCTCCCTGCCCCCCTCCCTCCCTCCCTCCCTCCCTGCCCCCACTCTGATATTAGAGAAGTCATGGAAAAAGATGCTAAAGACTATGCAGATTCCATCCATGCAATATTTGTAGAGACAAGTGCAAAAAATGCAATAAACATAAATGAACTCTTTATAGAAATTAGTAAGTATTTCATAATGATCAGTAAATCAGTGGGAACTTTCTTCTCCCATCTTCATTTAAGGGATACAAAAAATGAATATAGATAACTGTGTTGGTTTGATCTTGTTTCTGTCAGGTGTTTATTTGTATGTGTCAGCATTTGGTAGGGATGCAGAACTGCAACATGATTTCTTTCAGGTCATTTTAAGGCTTTTGTAGTTTCTTGTGTTAATGCTCTAGAGCCTTCTATTGTCCCAGCTGTATAAAAAGAAACTGACAGAGATATCTAAAAACAATATTCTTTTAGACTTGATAAATTGTTATTACAGGGCCATTTTAACAAAAGAGATCACTAGATGAATGTAGAAATTCATATAAGTAGTATTTTAATCATTTATTTAGTGTATATAGTATGTATTCTGAATGTTTTAGTCTTGCAATATACAGAAATTGTTAGATCAGGATATTTCCAACAGAACAACATAGGATATAGTAAATGCAAGTTTAATATAGTAATCACAGTTAATATCCTTGGGCAGGCCTATCCCCCATAGATTTGCCTAAATTTGTCTTAAACATTACCACTATACCAGGGGTCAGCAACTCGCGGCTCCAGAGCTGCACGTGGTTCTTGAACCCCTCTGCTGTGCTCCGTCGCTTGAAACACGCACAGGCACAGCCACTGATCTGCTTGAAGCTCCACTCAGGAACCCAGTGCTAGCTACTTAAGTAAATCAGCTAGTTAAGTAAATCGCTACATTTCTCTGCTAAACAAGCTTCCTGCAGGCTCTCATGTTACACAAAACCTGCTGAAAAGATTCTCTTTGTCCCAATGTAATCTCCTTCATCTGAATGTTAAAAGCTGCACTTGCGACCTGTCACACAATTCACAGCACTTGACTGTTTATCTGCTAATCAGTCACTAAACACACATATAATAATAATAATAATATAATAATAATAATAATAATAATATCATCTCCAGCACAGCCTCCGATCTGTGGACCCCCGTGCCAATTTACTGAGCTCCCCCCCCCTCCATAGGCCAACCATGGATAAATCGAAGAAAAGTTTCTGAAGAAAACCAAACATTTAATGATACATGGGTAGATTCATTTGCTTTTACTGCTGACAAACTTATGGGCTTTGCTGTTTAATACATGCAGCCCTTTAGTACTGACTTTAGTACTGACCTACTAGTTGATAATGTAAGATTAAAAATAAGTTTTTAGTGACTGAACAAGAGCTGCAGCTAAATCATAATGAAAATATACATAGCATTGAGGTAAAAAACGATCTATGCAGTTTTATCTTCATTTTAGATGTCAAAGGGGTTTTGCGGCTCCCGGTGTTTTGTGTGTGGGAAACGGGTCCAAATGTCTCTTTGAGTGTTAAAGGTTGCCGACCCCTGCACTATACATTACCATACCTTGTGGTGGTGGATTGATCACATTCATTTTTCATTGCACAAACTATAGTGGTGCTTTGAACATACTGCTTTAATGTTTTATTGGATAACGCAGTATTTCAGGGAAATGACTGTGAAAATTTCTGTTTCATATCGATATTATTCATAATTTTGTAGAATTAAGTAGCTCAGGCTCTGGCAATTCTTGATGACCCTCATGTAAACCAAGCCACAGTGAAATCACCTTTATGTGAAGGTGATTGTTTCTCCAAGCAAACACATGGTTGGTAAATGACGGTGCAGCATATAAGATACATTTCAATCAATTCAAATAATTACTTCATTGCTATTCTTTCTTTAACTCAGCACATGTGACCATATTTATGAGAATAAGTGTCTTGGTCTTTTAGCCATTGTAGAATACTGCAGTACTATAGACTGTCTGCTTCTATCTACTTCATGGGATGCCTCCAAATACTCTCCTTTTTATTTTGTTCATACTCTCTAGCAGTATAAACTAAAACTTTCATATGAAAATTCAAATCATCTTACAAATATTTTGTGTAGGTGTCATTAACTATCATAACTGACATGTTAAATCCCCAATTTCTTTCAAGGATGTTATATACTGCCATAGTCATTAAGTTGATGATGACCTGCTCATAATCCATAAGGCTAAATTGTAGTGAATTGTGTTACTGAGTTGTTTTGTGAACACTTAAGCTGCATTTTTGCTCTCTACAGGTCGTAGAATACCATCAACAGATACCAACCCCCCATCTAGCGGTAAGGGCTTCAAACTTAGAAGACAGCCTTCAGTGACAAAACGCAGCTGCTGTTGACTGATACCTTACTAGTCTTTATAAAGTAATTGGCCTGGGAAATTAAGGGTTTATTTTGAGTATATTTTATTTGTACTGGATTGCTTCCTGCCTAATGTTTATAGACCCCAAAATGGACGAGCTCTGACATGCATGCTGTGGAGACTACAGTTGCTATGCTGTCAGGGTTTCCTTACATACAACATATGGACTATCTCTTGTACTCAAAGGAATTGTCTTCAATTTCTGCTTTAGCCTTGTAAGAAAGAGATTCCAATATACCAATTATAAGACTTGATATTTCATAGTTTTTATAAAACAAAACTTGGCCATGTTTTGTAAGGAGGGTGGGGGGAAGGGAAACTTGCACTTTTGTGGATTTGGTGGGAGTAGGCAACCCCTGTGGATAGAAATGTTAGCTCTGATTTTAATGTGTTCCTACACTTCTCATTGTTGTTGCTCTAAGCCTTACTGTTTTCACTGTTGCTTCTCCAAAGTACAGGATGAACTCCAGATTAAGAGATAGCTGCAAAAATAATGAAACATCAAAATGACCAAACAACTGATCCAGTACCCAACCTTAATTGCACTTTGTTTAGTGATGATATTGTAGAAATATAAGCAAAGGGTACTATCCTATGCTGCCTGTGTGCCAGCAAGATCCATCATTAGTGCAACAGGGAGTCAGTGCTTTATAAAGTAACTTGCAAACCAAACAGAGATGGGCATTTCTAGAATGGGGCAACCTGTTCCAGTGCAGAAACTAGCATTCCCAGCCATTTCCAGGGTTCCTTTAAGAAATGCTATTTTTCCTTGCACTAGTAGTGGATTCCACTGGTAGAACAGAATGAGTAAGAGCGCAGTGGCAGTATAGGATACTGCCCAGTATATTTTAGAAAGGGGTGGTGGTAGAAGCTTAGCCTAGACAATCCTACCTTGTTATGTATCATCATTTTAGAGACAGATAGCAGTAGGCTCCTTTTTAACATTGATGAAATTGACCAAAACAAACTTGAACACAGCTGGCAGGAATCATTTGCTGTCAGTAGTTCTAGAACAAGCATGGTTAGTTGCTTAGCATGAGCAATCTTTTATATTCTTATTTATGAGACCTTTGCCTAAAGTATTATAAATTATGTAAGTGCCATAGATAAAAATCTGTTTTTTCATCTCTCTATCCTGCACTTATTGGTGGGAGGATGAGGAGTCCTATGGCCAAAATTGCTGATGATCCCAGCCTGCAAGCATGAGACCTTGCTTGAGCTGGCACCCTCAAGTGTTGAGCTGGAAAACACTCCCTTCTCTGTCCAGTAGAGGTTGCTGCAACTGTAATTTGAGGCTTGCTTGTGGAATAAATTACTTCTGCATGATAAATGGGGATCCAGAGCCAGCTTTGAGGGGCAGCGTAGATCGTTGCCTCCTTTCTCTTGGGCCTATCCTGATTCTTTATAAATCCTGTTTTTAAGCAAACTAGCTTAGCATTGTATTGTGTGTTCATTTTATTTTAACCTATAAATTAATCTTGCCCTATTTTACTATGCCTCATTATTTATTTTTATTGCAACCTACCAGTGAAAAGGTGTGTGTGTTCCCACCCTTAAGAATATAGCAGTTTTAATAAATTCACAATATGTAAAAGAAGCTGTAAGGCTTGGCTATTTCATGTACGCAGAAACATGTCTGTGGTGACTTGCTTCCAAGTCATTGCTTGGCATTTTACTTTAAGTGTTTTCAGCTGAGAAGGAAATTCAAAGAATACTTAGGAAATGAAACAGCAAAATTTTGGACCATATCATTCAGAGCAATCCTTAATACAGCTGAATTGCTATGGCTAACCAATGTGATTGGAATTATTCTGGTAAGATAAGTAGGCTTCTCTCCTTGTTTTTAAAAATGTGTAAGTGAAACTTCTGTAAAGAGTTCAAAGTTCTACATTTATCTTGCAATATGTAAGCAGTTCAATACGCAGACCTAGCAAATATTAATTTGCATGTAAAATCATATGTCCCCATAAATGTTTCAGCAAATTGTGGTGCATGCAGTTCACTCTGAACAAACTATGTATATGTGTTAATAATGAAATTGACAGTACATTCCAAGCCGCTTTGTTTGTGGCCTTAATCTGCTCTTCATTTTTATTTAAAAATTAACTGATTATACCTGTAAACTAGCCCAAAGAATCTTGTGCCTGCAAAACATGATTTAGGGTTGAGTGCAACATGCTAATGTAGAGACCTGGGACACAGTGTCATCACAAGCTGATCCAGAATTTCTTCTCACAGTAGCCTGGATTAACCAATGCTTTGGCAAAGACCTTGTTGTGTATGCAAGTCTATTGTCCAGCATAAATTGGACTGAAAATAAATTTGGCAAGCTTGTACTAGTGGCAAACTTGTCTACTGGGCATTTTCAAGGCAGTTTAGGCAGAACAGTCTTTCAGCTCCTTTTCCAAGAGCTGTACTGGGCTCCAGAACAGGCTTCAGAGCTGCTCCTGGTGGCCAGGACCAGCACTGCATGACAAGCTATTGGTTAAACTCTGGACTGTTTCAATGTAGTGCAAGAAGTGCTGTTTGAAACAGAAGTTCCTGAATGCCTAAACAGTCTCTTTAGATCCCAGTTAGTGTGCCTAATATCAGATAACAATCCTCTAATAGAATTGATGTCAGTGCTTAGCTGTGCATATATCTCTATTTTCAAAGTGGTGTCTATTTATCCTGTTCATGTGGTCTTTTTCTAAGCAATCCCCTTTTTTACAAACAAACAAGAGTCTTTGTCTGTGCTTACTTGCTTAGCAACTTTCCAAAATATGAGATCACATAGAGAAAGAGAAGAAATTGAGTAGTGAGCTTCTTTTGGGACTATTGCACAAATTTATACCAAGCTCTGTTGATATGCCAGCAGCAGCATGTCACCATCTTGCAGTATGGCTTTCACAGTTCACTGGTGTCACTGTGATGCCAATTAGCTCCCGCCTTTAAATTATGTATAATTAGGGGATTATTTGTTTCACCTTCCCTGCAAAGAGAATATCTTACATACATCTAGTAGCATCTTTTTAAGCTGTGACTGTATCCTTATCTTCTGTTACCACATTTATGCAATGTAACACTTCAACCCACAAGCTATCAGTCTTGGCAGCATTTCAAAGACTTTTCTGCCTATCCAAGCCATCAGGTACATTGCCAGCATGTTAACCTGTATTAGAGTTCACTGGACATATTTACTAGAATAGTTGAACTACCATTATTCCCATCTAAATCTTAGCAGATTTATTGGCCAGTGGACATACTTGCAGTGCATCATTATTTCAAATTACATGAATTAATAGACATTTGAGCAACAGTATCCTCACTATAAACATTTGGGAATCTTTTTACCTTTCCAATTATTGTACATGTATCTTTTGAAGTTGTTTCAGAATATACCACCAGTTGGTTGTAGTACAAAACGTGCAAAAACAGCAACAGCAGCTTGCATCCATTCTGTTTCTGTGCTATCGTGGTTCTGCATAAATGGTATCAGTCATCTTTGTGATCCTCCTTGTGTGGTTTATAATGTCATGTGCACTGTACTATGAGACAACCCACTTACCCCAGTGTCCAGCCAAAGGGGAAATAAGATGCAAATTAGGAGTGGGAGACTGAAAATGAGAGCATTTAAATAAATGTGGAACCATATGCTATACAGGCAGATACTTGGCAATGAATGTATCTAGCTAAAGATGATTATTTGGAAAGCATAGTAGCTGGGGAACATGAACAGAAGGGTTCTCTTGCACTGATGTCCAACTTGTGGGCTTCCCACCTGCAACTGCTTATCTACTCTGTGAGCAGAATGCTGGACTAGATGGCCCTTTAGTTTGGCTCTAATGGTTCTTACGTCAGGCATTTATTTTCATCCAAAACTGATCATACAGCTTTTAAAAATCAAGCCTGTGCAGTGTGTAGATGATATCAACAGTACATGTCTGCTGAGAAATGAGCCCTACTGAACTCAATGGGATTTATTCCCAGATAAGCTGGGTAGAATTGCAGCCTTGGTGTGCATACATTCGGACAGCATGCCTCTTGGAAGAGTTCCGAGCATCCAGAAGATCTGCTCCCCAGCATGGCCACATGCTGCTGGCAAGGTCGTCACCAAACCTCCACAGCATGACAGCAAACCAGAGCCATGGTTTTCCTTTGTGGCTGCCACACCACTGAATCTCAACAGTGAACAATCAGCCCATTTTGACTGCCATGTTCAAATTTGGTGGAAGGTGCTGCAAAAAAGGGCTAGAAGGATTGGATGTTGTCCATCCCCACTCTAGGTTGTCTGATCGAACAAAGCATAGCGCCTCCCCCACCCCCAGAAAAAAATGGGCCTTGCACATTCATTTTAGGAGATTATTACTCCTATAATCTAAAATATTCTAGCCACTGTTGTCTCTTGATAGGACGTTGCAAAACTGGTGGATGGAGGAAAGTGAAACAGCTTGTTGCAAATAACAGTCCAAGTACTAAGGTCAGCTTTTTTGCTGGAAATGTTTGGTGGGAATGGAAGAGGGACATAGGAAAAAGCACCTCTTTCAGTGTTCCTACAAATTGGATACAAAGTGACTGAAATCCAGAACGGGATCCTTTTTGTAATATCCCAAATGTACCTGGGAACATTGTCTCAGGATTGCTTGTGGGAACTCTGTCACGCATCTACAGTCTTCTCTGAATACTCTCTGGGTTCAGAACCAAAACACTGTAATTTGATATTAAGTTACCTGGAAGCAACCAGCAGTGAGCCCAATTGGAATTTACCTCTGCATAGATAATGTCTAGGATTGCAGTGCTAACTGCAGAGAGAAGAAAACCCAGCAAGCAATCAGGTGGTATCCAGTGCTGTCAGTCCACCTGCACTGAAGTCATTGAGACAACAGAAATGCAGGTACAACCCTGGAAACCAGCACAAATTAGTGCTTTTGACATAGAACAAGTCAGTGGGGCTCCTTTCTATGAGCTACACTAACTTGTCTCATTCTGAATTGGCATAATTCCCATGAAACAGATGCATCAGCTTTCCATAACTGCTTTCCAAATGTCTTGGACTACTATTCCCATCAACCTTAATTAGCATGTCAAGAAACCTGGGCATTACAGTCCAAAATGTCTGGAGGGCACTAAAGATGCACATTCAATAGTCACCTGACAATTGCTCCATTTGGAAGCAACCAAATTGTGAGTCATCTTTCTGTTTGTACTCCAAATGAGCCATTTAAGGTGTAGCTTCATTCTTTCTGTCTTAAGCAGCTTAAAATTTCAATCTGGGGCGCACTTTTTTTTTTATTATATTGCAATCACATAGACTGTTTTATTGTTTTTGTTTAGTACTTATCTGCAAGGCACAGCTTATCTTAGGCATTGTTAAAAGCTTAAAGCAGGGTCCAGGAGCTATACTGTTTGTCAAATAATTCCAATTGACAAACTATTGTCAAACCATGTCAGGAATGGTGGCTATAGCTTTCTTGCTCATGGGAATTTTATGTTTTGCACCTGTAGTGATGGCACAAATATATAAAAAGGTGACCCAGAGCTTTTGGTCTATCAGTTCTGGCTACTCTACTGTAGGAGTTACTCAATGCCTTAGAACTCTTTCTAACTTCATTGCTGTTGGAATCTACTGAGGCATTCATGTAGGCCACCACTATACCCCAAGGCAGTGGAAACCTGTCTCAGAAATTCCCCCTAATTTTTCCCAGTGAGCCTTCATTATTGAGCTGACTTCTGGTTGTTTAAGGTATGCAGAAGCAGAATGCTGAAGCTATTATGCTTTCTCATACCTGTGGAACAGTGTCCAGCAATGGTTATGGGATGGTAAATCATTGGAGGGTAAAGGAGCCCTTTCAAGGGGCAAGCAGATCAATATGAGACATTTAGGGGCAGGAAAAAGTATGCCTGGCATTTTAAGTGGATAGGGGTTTGGATGGTGTCCCTACATAGCATGCATTGGGGAGGAGAAACCTTATTTTTAGCATCTTGGATCATCCTCGAGATAATCTTGGGAAATTGCTGATTTGTTGCCATTTGAACTGCATAATCTGCCACTCCTTGTCTGCAGTTACACTTTATAAATAGCAGCAAATACTACACTGAACATAGTTAGGAAATACCCCAGCAAATAATATGTCATATAGTCAGAACTTGTACAGTCATTTTTTAAAAAACATCTTTCTTGAGAAGATGTTTCTATGTAATGTCAAGCTCTCCTTGCTTGTTCTTAGAAACTTCCAAAAATTGATCGTAATTCATTTTCTTGTTTGGGAGCCACAGAGAGGAGCACTAAATAAATGCCTGCAATTGATTTTTCTTCTCATTTGGAATCACCAGAAGGATATTCTCATTCTATCTCTTCCTGGATCCATATATAACTGCATTCAATTTCTTACGTTATGGGAACCATGCATCCGGAACGAAGCTATTTAATGGCTCAGCATTAACAAAATCTGAACAAAATATTATATTGATGATCACATTTCATTCCTAGCAATGTGTTTTCTGACTATGTAGCAAAACACTGTTGCATGATGTTGAGGGGAGGAGAAAAGTGAAATTTATTCTTGGTTCTCCTTGCATTACAAATGTTCTTGTGTAAGAAAAGGTAGGAACCCCACCCATAAATTGCCAGCCATGACACTCATTGTGCGTGCACACGTGTGTGTGTTTAATATATGCGAGTGAGTGAATCTTAGTTCAGTGTTAGACCCTATGTTTTGCATAGACATGATCTCTGATTCAGTCCCTGGTATCTTCAGTTAACAATGGGGTGAGAAGGGTTTCTGCTAAAGACTTCCTACCAGTCAGATGAGACAGTTCCAAGCTAAAACTGTCACCACCATGTTTCCTGCATATTGGCAGAAAAATGAGATGAGGGCATTGAGTTTCTTGTACCACCTACGGCAAATTTTACCATTTCAGTTCATCAGATGTTTGAGGTGCCCACATTTCACTCTGAAAACCAGTTTCACATTATTGCTGCTACTCCCAGCTGAAAGCTAGATGCAACCCTTTAAGATACTGTAAAACGGGAGAATAGCCTTTCTTCCTCTGAGGGCCCCATTTCCTTGGAATGACTTTGCCAGGGACAGGGGGATGCCTGGGGCTATAACACAAAGTGGGTAGAGTCATCCCTTCTATTTTCCCCCATCCTCTTCCTCCCTGCCCAACTAGGTGCCCAGAGAGTGTCAATCCTTTGCCAGAGGTCCAAACAGATTGCTTGCAGAAGGCTTTTTAAATTAGGCTGAGAGCTACCTTAAATTAACATACTTGCTGTAGAATAAGTGAGAGCTACCTTAAATTAACATACTTGCTGTAGAATAAGTGAGTTCAGATTTTTTTTTCTTTCTAGCAGAAAGCAGAAGTAAAGGAAATTAATGTATGTTGTTGTCTCTCAGGCAGCAGCTTTATCAATAAAGTAAGGGTGGTTCGAAATGGATTTTTCAAGTGCCAGGTGTGCTGAATCACTAGTCCAAATGGCACAGCAAGTGTATTAATAGGAATTGATATGGTTAGCACTGTGCAACTGGGGGATTGGACAGAGGAGGAGAAAATCTCATCTGTTGGTGCAGATGACTTTTTCTGGTATTGCTTCTTGCAGTTCCAGTTTAGCACCAAGTTGCACAATCATCCTTGTGGGAAGCTGCTCTCTGGGCACAGCCTTAGCAATGTGATATTCCTCTTCATTAATGGTAGTTGTGGCAAGGCTCTTTTGCTTCCTGACTCTTCTGGAAGTTCTTGATCTGGCAGAAATGTATTTGTAAATAAGGTAATTATCCTAAGAGTGGAAGCTGAGACAAACACCTCGCCTTTGTACATTGCATATCTCAATTAGAATGTATGTGAAGTTGCAGTAAAAACACTTTAATTTACTAAATGCAAACTTGCAAGTTTGATGGCAAAATGAAACTTGATCTTAAGTAAGCCTTTGCATTTAATATGCAGTTTTTTAAAAATACCAAAAACTGTATCAAAGAGCTGATTATTTGGACTACAACAAGTGTGGAGGGGAGAACTTAACTCTTTATTCCCTTGCTGCAGTCTTAGAGAAAACTCTTCTTGAAGGTAGTGTTTACTTTGCAAGGGAAATCTCTTGTTGGTATCAGTGGAGATCTCCCAACAAAGCAAACACTACCCCCTCCTAGCTGATTCTGTTTACATTTTCTTAACTGGCAAGTCACATTAAATGTGCCAATTTTGGCTTTTATAGTTTTACGCGTAAAAATGTTCGTTCTGATTTGTTTGGGCAGGCAGTTCACTGGGATACCACACTGATGGGTATACTGAATGAAAAATAGATCTGAACTTTGGTTTGATCAGCTCCACTCAAATACTTTGTTGGAAGAGAAAGGGAAACCACTGCATATTTCTTCCTCGCTCCCCACTTCCCACAATGTGTTTCAGACCATGGGTGATTCTAGATCACCCGCCATCTCAGTGGCTCTGCACACTGGGTGACCATTACATATAATCCTATTCCTGTTCTCCTTGGAGTACACATAATTGATATAAGTGAGACTTGTGTTTGAATAGATATGTACAGGTTTCTGTAGTAAAAGGCTCTGTATGCTAAGCAGGCATACCAAAACATCTGTGCTGTGAACATTACTATAACTATGAGGCATGAACATAAACACAATAAAGTACACTGTGTTTCTGCAAATTAATATTGAATACATTCAAATGCTGTCCTTTAAAGTAGATGCTCAGAATTTTGACATTTCCTTAAAAAGCATATTATAGGGTCACTGTTTTGGAAGCCTGTAAATTTATGATTGGGGCATAAAGCAGTCTTGCTAAGTGTGTGATTGTCACAAAAACTGGATTGGAATTCAGTTGAGAAGGTAAAAGGTAATCAAAGGATTTTAACCTTTCATCGTGTTCACTAATAACCTGAAGAAACTGATATTACATTCATCAAATTCACTATCATACAAAAAGAGGAGAGATTTTCTATTTCATACAGGATGATTCTAGAACTCCAAAATGATCTACCTATCGTAGGCTTGGACAGCCAGTATCAAAATGCATTTCCACAAAGATAAGTATAAAATGAGGAATAGACTGTGTAGACAACACTTCAGAGCATGATATTTTGGCTTCCAGTGAACATCAGATAAACATCACTTGCCAATGTGATGCTGTTGCATAAAATAGCAGTACCATTTTAGGCTGTGTCAACTAGAGTTCTTCAAAGAATAAGGAAATGCTTGATCTAATTTATTTGGCATTCCATTTGATCATATCAGAGTTCAATCTGGAATATGGCAATTCATGAATTAAGTTGCAAGTTTTAATGGCCAACAGAAGAGAGCAACAAAGATGATAAAGCTAGAAGATGAAAAACACACGGGTAGAATTTGGTATAGCTACTCAGAATATTAAGGAAAGGGAATGTTAGAAACCCTCAAATTCAGAAAGATAGGAGAAAGAAGGGAAACAGTTGATTCTTTGAGTGGAAGAGCAGGTCAAGGAGTAATTGTGTGCAAACTGTCTGGCATCACTGCCTTTTTATACACACTACAGCATGTACACAAGCCCCATGTTTTGTGAGAACCCCCATGTTTTGTGAGAACCTTTGCTTCTGATGTGCTGGGCTGGGAAACAGAAAGCGATACAACACGAAACCTGGCAGGAGTGCAAGAATGATATGCCATGGTGAGGCCTTAATCCTCCCTCTTTGCTACAAAGCCATGATTTAAGAAATCCTTCCAAACTATGGGATTAGTTCCACAATAAAACTGACTGTAGAGTAAGCCCTGTAGAAATCTTAATCTTCAGAGGTGTTCCTAAGATAGTGTAACTTTCAGGTACAGTATTTTACAAAAGATTTGAGTTAGATTACTCATCAAGTCTACCATAATTCTGAGTTAAAGTTAGGTTTCAGCCTCGCAGAAACTGGATTATTACCATCTTACTCTGCCATTAAAATAAAAGTCATTGCTGCAGAAAGTATTTCTAATACTCCTGAGTGACTGAAGGATGATGAACCACTGAGTTGTCTCCTACAAGTTTCATGGAAATTAACAGAAGTTTAATGAAAGGTATAAAGTTAGGAAATCCTCAAGTGGGAGTAAATGTGGACAAAGATGGGCACTGTACATGGACAAAGCTCCATACAGGAGCTGTTGGAAAGAAAATCTTGGTGTGCTAAATTCCAGATTCTTTACAGTGAGACTTGCATAGGTAATGTTGTAAGAGAGTATATGTTTTTTTCTTTGCATGAAAGGTAGCTCGATAGAGAACTGTTACAATATTAACCATGATTTTCCAAGCATATGAAAGTCTGAAGACTTGATTTTAAACACATTCTTGGGCTGGTCCTAAGATGATGTGAAGAATGTATCTGTATTGGTGGTTTGTAAAGGCTGGTAGTTGGGGTGGGGTGGGGTGGGGTGGGGCGAGGTGGGGTTTCTTAAACTCTTACTATCATGACATTCATAGGACTTCTTGTCATTTCTTTTTTGTACTTAAAATTTTGTTAAAGAATCATTGATTTAACACATTAAAAGCCTTGTGTGAGCTTAAACAAGTATACTCTTACAGTGTAACAACATGTTAATTCACAAGCTGAATGTATTGTGAAAAATAAAGATGTAAATGATTTAATAAAATGCTTTGTTTGTAACCTGTGCTACTTGGTTTTCTTGTTTTCCATAGTTCCTCAGCCATTCAGTATAGTTTCCTTTTTACAACTGATGCTTTCATGAAACTGTACTTCCTTTGTTATGTAAACTGAATTTAAAAGCTACATGGGCATTATATTTCACCTTTGAAATTATTATTCTGCTTTCTCTGGTGTATTAACATTGTTTTCAGAATTCATATTAACAATCTCATAGGACTTATTTTTTTGTATTTGCCCAATAAATTTTGGGCAGTGATACTGTACAATTCACAAGGCTATGGTTAAGCTGCACCAGCTTTCCCTGATCTGGTTCCCTCCAGATGTTTTGTATTCCAATTCTGGCAGCTCTAGCTGGCAGGGCTAATGAGTAGGGATGATGGGAGCTATAGGCTAAATGCAGAGGAGCTAGGTTGCAGAGGCTTCTCTAAAATAAAACCCAATTTGAAAGTGCCAGCCCCAGAAATTAAAGATTTCTAGTCTGGATGTATATGAAAATTCAAGTATCACCAAGATTTACCTGTTTGGACTGGCTTTTGATGTTTAGGATTACAAGCAAAGACAATGGGCAGTAATATATCTCAATTAAATGTTACTAAGAATTAGTATTAGGCCCAGGGCTGGCTCACCTGTGAAGCAGGGTGAGACAGATGCACAAGGCTAAGCAGGTGATTATGCAACTCCACTGCATTCCAGGACAAATGGGCCCCCTCCATAATCCACATCAGGTATTATGGAGAGCTCCACTAGCTGCTCTCCTGCCATAGCATTTGCAGCAGCAAGAGCCCATCCTCTCCTTCCCAAGTTGGATATAGTAAGCAAACGTGGGCACAGAGCTTTTGCAAAATCTCCCATAATTGTCCCCTTGGCAGCTTGGCTCTCCACAGAGCTGAGCCAGTGGCAGCAAAGACAAAGGGAAGGGCTGTGGGGATGTGATCTTGCAGCATGCCTGTTCTCTTACCTCGGACTACAAGAGGCCTTGCACCAGGTATGTTCAGCTACAATGAACTATTGCACTAAACAAAACTCAGTATTTATAAATACACACTTTCCTACTTCAGCTGCATCGGGGCACTGGGGCTGAGCAGGTTAAGCCCCACCCCCATAAATCCCATCCCATGTCTAAAAAAGAATGGATGACGGGTTACATAAAAGGCATAGGGGGCGGCGGGGGGAGCTCTCCCTGAGGATGTGCAGGAAGGTTGCTCTTTCCTGCAGGATCCACTTTGTCGCAAGTGACCCAGCACTGTTGAGTGACCTCTGGCTCAAGTCACCTTTCACCACTTTGGGTGATAATGCCAGCTGAGACTGCATGGATAAAGATAGTTTATCTGCCATTACTTTCGCTTTGCTAACCTTTCATTTGGACTTGCAATGCATTATATGTGGGACAGCCTCTGAAACAGTTAGGAGACTGCAGCGGGTGCAGAATAGGGCTGCATTATTATCAACTGGGGCTTATGTATGAAATTTGTCATAACCATAGGCCCCTCAAGGTAGATGTAGCAATATATACACTTTATAGGTCCCTTAATCATAGATAGATATGGGCGGGGAGTGGTTACATTGAGCTAGGGACACACAGTCCTGAACAGATTCCAGCATGCAAAGCATCAACAGGGAACAGTAGCTCAGCGCCCACAGCATTCATATATCTCCATTTAAACATCCTGCATGACCTAGTACAGCTAATCAGGAATGTTGCTACAGTGGCTCACAGAGGTCCTAATCCCTTTGTCTCCACAAGAGAGGAAAATTTACAGGTAGTTTTCCTTTTTCCCTTAACAATTTTCACAGTGTTTGGAATACCAACCAAACAGGTCAGAGGCACAGAACATACAACTACACCAACCTTAAGGAAGACTAGTAAGGCTCAGCTCTGAAAAGCAAGGAGAATTCAGCTGCGGAAGAACTCCCACCATCCAAATACAAGGAGATTAACAACACAACTGAGAACCTGTTTGTTTTGATGGCAGTGCAATGGCCACAGCTTTGCGGTCCAGTGGCCACTTCTGCACCACAATTCTTCTGTCTTATAATGAATAAAATTACCATTGAGATGGGCAAAGAGCAAACAACATACACCACTCCAAATGGAAAGGTTAGTTTTCTTGAGCTCAGGTCTATGTCCACTGATATAGTGGCTTCAGAGCAAGGACATTAATGGAAACCTGTCCATCAGACTCCTAACGTGCATTCACAGAAGGATTTCTCATGCATGCTGGACAGAAAATCCGTGGCAGAAATTGTTATTGCCCAAATAACAAACAAGTTAATATTTTACTCCTGCTGTGCCCAAGAAAGTGTCTTGCCATTTTTACAACAAGCTGCAAAGGGGACAGTTCTTTTGCAAAGCTCAAGCATATAAAGAATTTTCTTAGGTCAACTGCGGGATACTTGCAGGATTGATTGACTGATTGATTGATTGCATATATATACCACCCCAATAGCCCAGAGGGCTCTCTGGGTGGTTTACAAACATTAACACCCCAAATACAATACCCAATCCTAAGCAAATAGATTGGCTACACCACAACTGAGTATACAATAACATGGTTAAAATGAATTAGATGAATAAATATACAATTAAAATGAATTAACTTTAAAATATTGGTTAAATAAAAAGGTCTTGACCTGACCTGATGCCAAAAAGCATATAATCATTCTCAGATGAGAATGATTCTTTGCAAAAACAGACATTTGAAGTCGTCCCCCCCCCCCGATTTATATCCTGCCTTTTTCCTACAAAGGGCTCAAGGCAGCTTGCATCATTCTTCTCCTCCATCTTATCCCCACAACAACCCTGTGAGGTAGAGTGGGCTGAGAGTCTGTGACTGGCCCAATGGGCTTCATGGCCGAGAGAGGACTCGAACCCAGATGGCCTGAGCCCCAGTCCCATGCTCTTAACCACTACACCACACATAAGTTGTATGCTTATGATCTTGCAGATAGAAAGACACGAAGTTCATATATACCCTTCATTTATTTAAGACATATCTGTATGCATAATTGGTAAAAAAAAAAGTTTTCTTTAATTGAGTGTTCTGTAAGCCCAAGTCTTTTCGCAATACTTTGGGAATTTCATTAGCCCTAGTCACTTTGTCGATCGGGCCTGATGAATGATCTTGTCCTTCCAGAATGCTTTGTCTAGCACCATCTTTATGATCTTTCCAGTACTAAGTGAAGATCATTTTAAATTACCCCATCTCTTAATCTGGGCTTCTCTGCATAAAATGTGTTTCAAATGTGCTTTAGTTTTAATCGTTTGTGTTAATTTATGTTGTGATTCAATTGTGTATTTGTTTTGTGACTTGCCCAGAAATTATGTATTATGAGCAAGCTATAGAAATATAACAAAAGCAAAACTTATGTCAGAAATAAACCTTTTTGAAAGTAAAGCTTCTGATTAATTTAAGAACATGGCATTCTTTCAACAAGAATGGAGTGTGAAGCATCATCCTATTCCAGTGTCCACACATTTTTTGTTTGCGGCTCTGCAGTGCTTTACCTCTTCTGTTAGCAGTCAGATGAACCAGAATGAAGATGTCAGTGATGCACCCTGGGTGCCAGTCTGTAGAATACGATGCTTCGTGGCCGGTGCCAGTGAATGCAGTCTTGCCAGCCAGGCATTTCAGCATGCTGGCTTCATGCTGTGATTTACTTGCCTTGAATGGCATGCAACCTACTCCGTTTCCTTCTAAGTGCCTTTACACTTGATATAGCACCATATATAGTACCAGGCAGGATGTATTGAGTACACATACCTCCACAGCTTAAGAAGATGCTTATTAAGGAAAATATAACAATCTGAGGCATTGCAGAAAGTATATAGTAGGCAATTTTAGCTTTATCCAAACAGCACATCGTTCCGAACCTATAGATAGGGAGGCTCCCTTCAATCAGAGTCTGCTAACTTGCCTTCTGCTCCCCAGGTCTTGCAGGTTGAAAGGTGCACCTCATGGGTTGTTGTACCATACTGGGCTGTAATTTGATTTGTTTGAGCCAGCTGGCCCCAAAGAGCAACGTGACTGCATTAAGGCGTATAAAGAAGCCGGGCTCAAAGTGTGAGCTTCTCATCTCACTGAAGAGGACCTCACATGTCTGAACGCCTGCTCCGTTTTGGATTTTGCCCTCCCAAATGCCTCCTGAGTTATTCTGTGAGCATGTGACACTTCCAAATATAGTCGCTGACTTTGGAAACCTTCCAGGGCTGGAGGTGTGCTCCATTACCTGATCTTTGCTGGCCACTTGTAGAACTCAAGCCATATCTGCCCTGAACTATGTTACTCATCTCTGGATTGATTGACCTGCCAGCTGGCTTTCCCTGGACTCCATATCCTGTTCACTTCAGGCCTGACCAGCCAACTGGACCCAAATGGGCAGAGTTATGAAAGAGGGCACCCAAATTCTTTCATCCCATAGGGAGAAAGACAGCTATACCCCCCAGAGAGCTTTGACTATGGGGCAAGATACAGATGATGATGGTGGTGGTCAAATTCAATTCTGGAGAAGTTCTTGGAGGCTGCATTCCAGAGCTGAGTAGGGGTTCTGGCAAATGGGGGTATGGCCAATGGCAACACCAATACTCAGAATTCCCATCATGCCAGCATGATTTAGCTGAAAGCTCTTACTGCCAGTAACTAGTGCCTTAAGAGGCCTGGGAGCAAGAAAGACAGTTGCTCTTGGTGGGCTTTCTCAAGGCCCGCTGACTGGGATTCAGAGAAGGAAGAGAAAGAGCTAGAGGGAGCCTTGGAATGTGGGCCGATTCCAGATGTTGAGATGAGAGAAGCAGAGAGGCGTATCTCAAGGCCAGACTCCCTGGGTGCACAGACAGCCTTTGAGATCGACCAAGAAGTACAATTAGCAGGAGGGGCTTGGAACAGAGGCGTTTCTCAGAGGCAGACATGGGTGTGGCCCTTGACCCCACGAAGCAAGGTTGGCAGAAAGCGGCGGCCCAGTTAGAAGATCCGCATGAAGAGTGAGGCAAGCTCATTTCCAGAAGGCCCC